AAAGACTTTTTTTAAGGTTACTAAGATCTATAGTAACTTTTATTATGCTGCATTAGTATTATTATCTTTTCCATTTATTTTTATTAGTCGGAGGCTAATTAGTTTACAATATTGTAGTGGTTTTTGCCATACTTAAATCGCTACTCAGTCATATTTCCAGTTACTTGCAACTGAATGCAGCCCACATTGACACAGATTCCCTCCTTATCTTTAAATGTCTTTTGCTGTGAGTCTCAGTGCTCAGTTATACGTTCAGAGGAGAGTAAGGTCTATGTTGACCAGATGCTACTGGTGCCCTGAAAATCGCTTCTCTGTGCTCACCATTTTGCAGCACCTGTGACTCTGCCTGAGGGCTTCCTGCAGCCACTAGGGCCTGCGCTGTTTACATACGGGACAGGCTGGAAGGATGTTCCAGGGAATTAATGTTCCTCTCCTCTTCACATCCAAGAGCAGCCTTCACCCAATGCCTGAAGTGGTCGGTGTATCAATACCCCGGCTCCGGGGCTTTCCTGGTGGCTCAGCAGTAAAGAATCCACCTGCCAATGCAGGAGACATGGATTCGATCCCTGATCCAGGAAGATCCTACCTGCCGAAGAGCAGCTAAGCTCGTGTACCACAGCTATTGAGCCTGTGCTCTAGAGCCCGTGTTCCACAATGAGAATCTACCATAATGAGAAGCCTGCACACCACATCTAGAAAGGAGCCCCTGCTCGCCCTAACTAGAGAAAAAGCCTGTGCAGCAACGAAGAGCCAGAACAGCCAAAAACAAACAAATAAATGAAAAATTAAAATACACTAGCTCCCTTGCTTCTCTGGAAGATAACTGGGAGGCAGGTTCTACATTGACTGCCAGGGCTCCCCTGGGATCCTGGGGAGCAAGATCAAGCTACACTTGCCTGCAGTAGCCACTGACTTGGTAGCACATAATTTAGCAGCTTCCTTCCATTTTGTCTCATGCACCCACTCTCCTACCAGAATTTTCTGCGGTCACCTTCCAAAGAAACTACCCACACTAGAATCTCAGTTTCAGGATCTGCTCCTGGGGGAACCCAAACCAAGATAATGGAATTTTTACCCAGCGTTGCTTTGAGGTCATGGGAGCTAACTGGGGCCCAGAAGTTTTTGTATGCCCTTTGCGTGTACCCGGCCAGTCTATGCTGTGAAATTCAGGCAATGGTTCCTGCTAATGCAGCACTATGGGGCCTCTGGCTGGCAATCTTTTTCGTGATTCTTTCCCTCCTCCACACTCTCTGTGATCTCACTGCCCGTGTTGCCCCGAGAAAGACGCATCAGTGTGAAGCCTGGGTTGGTGGACATTCTGAGCAAGTTGTTGTGGGCAACCAAGAGGACTGGCATGAAATGCCAACGTTAGCAGAGGATGTCAACCCTAGCTCTGTGTTTACAGGTGAACAAAAATGCTCTCGATTTCCGGTGAGCTAGGCGTGATTCATCCTAGGCGGCCAGCTTCTTCCTTCTCTGGTTCTCCTACTCACTGAGGCTCATCCCAGGAGAGAATGTGTGCTCCAAGTAACCTGGGTGGTGACCCGAGTTTGCAGTATTCAGAATAAGGAGCCTATTTGAGGAACATGACTAGATCTCAGGCCCTTCTTTTTTCTCCCCCCAAAAGCTCTGAAAGTATTCTGCCTCAGATGGGAGGGAGGCTCAAGAGGGAGGAGACATATCACATTTGTAGTGGATTCCTGATGTGGTACAGCAGCAGCTAACCCATCATTGGGATGTAATTACCCTCAACATAAAGCATTCTGCTCCCCTGACCGAGATGGATGGGCCCAGAGATCAGTGAGACCCAAAGTGTAGGCATCAGACGCAATCAAACCCACAGCTGGTCTAGAATATTCCACACCGTATGAAGACAAGCTTGTTCCCTTAGACCAAGTCTCAGCAAACTACTGCCCATAAGCCAAATTGGGCTCAGTGCCTATTTTTATAAATAAAGTTTCGCTGGCCACAGCCACACCCATTTGCTTACATGATGGTATGGCTTCAGTACTGCGTGGATCTGGGGGACTAGTTGTGACAAAGGCGATGTGGACTGCAAAGCTTATATATTCACTGTCTGGACCTTCCAGAAAAAGTGTGCCGACCCCTGCACTAGGCAACCTCCAGTCTCCCACTCGAAACTGCCCCATCAAGGGGCACACCTGCCATACCTCCTTCTATTTATTTTAATTTTAATTAACTTCTTTTTTTTCTTTTAATTTTTTTAAACACCAAATACATTTTGTATTGGGGTTAACAATGTTGTGATAGTTTCAGGTGAGCAGTGAAGGGACTCAGCCATACATACACATGGATCCATTCTCCCCTAAAACCCTCCCTCCCATCCAGGCTGGCAGACAGCATTGAGCAGAGTTCCCTGTTTTACACAATAGGTCTTTGTTGGTCATCCATTTTACATAGAGCAGTGTGTACACGACCCTCCCAAAGTCCTTAACCATCCCTCCCCGCCGCCCCCCACTGCCCCTCAACCATGAGTTCGTTTTCTAAGTGTGTGAATCTCTTTGTGTTTTGTAAGTTCACTCGTGCCATTTCTTTTTGGATCCCAGATGTAAGGGATGTCGTATGATATCCGCTATTCGGCTGTGCTCGGTCTTCCTCGTGGCGCAAGGGCTTTTTGTTCCTGCGTGTGAGCGTCTTCAGTTGCACGGGCTTAGTTGCCCCAAAGCACATGGGATCTTAGTTCCCCGACCAGGAATCAAACCAGCATCCTCCGTATAGTAGGGCAGAGTCTTAACCACTGGGCTGCCAGGGGGGTCCCAGGCAACACCTCCTTCTGCCTTAACCTCCCTCTCCCCATCCCCATCACACCTCAGTTCCGGGAATAGTGCTTCTGAAACTTTAGTGTTTAATGGCAATCAGTTGTTGGAAATACAGGCTCTGATTCAGTAATTCTAGGATCTTACTAGACTGTGTTTCTAACCAGTTCTGGGGGTACACCACTGCGGCTGCTCTGAGAACTAACCTTTGAGGAGCAAGATTCAAGAAGACTGGGTTTGTCTCAGCAGAACCAGCAACTTTATCACTCTTTCTCACGGGTTGGCATTGCCAGGCAATACTAGCCCCTCTCTGACCCTGTCCCTTCACACACACACACACACACACACACACACACACACACACCCTTAATACAGGAATATGGCAACGCTGTCTCCCCTTTCCCATGAGCTCTGGTTTTCAGTCCGAGCAGCCGTTTCAAGAGTTAAAGAGCTGTGAGGATGACAGCAGGAGCGACGCCAGAGCTCTAACGAGCCTCTCTTTTTATATTTAGTTTGCTATTAGATAATGCTCAACACCTGTTCTCTAGACAGCTCTGTTTTAATCTCTTCGATCTCACTTTCTTGGCCACGTGGCTGCACAGACATGTTGCCCCGCATGAGTAATGCAACGAGAGCCAAACAAAATAGCTGTTTCTTTGGAGCTAGAAGCACGACCAGGGACTAAAAACAGCCGGGGCTGGGTTTGGGCCCACGGTGAGGTGCCGGTGGAGAAAACAGCTCTGCGCCTGGGGTTGGGCCCCCATCACTTGGCTCTGGGTGGCTTTCCTTTCCAGACTCGAAGCTCCAGGGAGTCTGGCACGCATGTCCCACCCTCAGAATGAAAAGGGAAAAGATGACAAGGAAATTCTCTTCTGCTGTGCTTCAATCAGAGAGCAGAAAAACAAGTTTTCCAGAAGTCATCTGAATATTTCTAATTTTGATCAGATTATTTCATTTGTGTGAAGTTGCCCAAAACATGCAGTTTCAGCCTTAGGAATCCTGAGATCTTTTCCCAGAAGCTACCAGAGAAACAGAAATAGTGAATCCATTGAAAAATCTTTCTCCTGGGATCCCTAGGCTTTATTATCTGTTTGGCTGTGGCTGGAGCTGGCTGACAGATGTGTAGATTTAAGTCATGCTACATCTGTAGGTGGGCTGTTGTTCATTCATTCAGTCATTTCCGGCTCTTTGTGACCCCATGAACCGCAGCACGCCAGGCTTCCTGTCCATCACCAACTCCCAGAGCCTGCTCAGACTCATGTCCATTGAGTTGGTGATGCCATCCAACCATCTCATCCTCTGTCACCCACTTCTCCTCCTGCCCCCAATCTTTCCCAGCATCAGGGTCTTTTCAGATGAGTCACTTCTTCCCATCAGGTGGCCAGAATATTGGAGCTTCAGCTTTAGCGTCAGTCTCTCCAGTGAATATTCAGGACTGATTTCCTTTAGGGTTGACTCATTCAATCTCCTTGCAGTCCAAGGGACGCAGCACCTGGAGATGGGCAGCCCACACCTAACTGTCAGCCGTTCAGGAGTGGGGGCTAGCAGGGAGCAAAAGCTCAGAGATCTAGCTATGGGGGCAGATTTGACAGTGTGACATAAGGAAGCACCACAGGCTCACGTCGTTTTTGAAATGATGAGGACTGATATTGTGAAGAGTGTGCTTGGCTTAGAGACTGTCTTCTTTCTGATCACTATCCCGAGCCCAAACTTCTCCAAAGTCTAACGTGAATAGAAGCTAGTCCTGGGTATTAACAGAAAACTGTAGTGAGTCATTTTTTTTTAAAGACTGTCATTTAGCATATATCCTTAAATTAGGACTTTCCTGTTCTAATGTTCCTGAAACATGTGCCAACTTATTTTTCACTCACAAAATGAAAATGCAGTCTTGGGTGACTGAGTCAGAGTTTACAATATTAGATTTTACTTTTTATTATAGTTGATTTACAATGTTGTGTTAGTTTCTGGCATACAGCAAAATAACTCAGTTGTGCACCCACACACATATGTTTATATATATATGTGTATACGTATTCCTTTTTATATTCTTTTCCATTATAGTTTATTACAGGATATTGAATATAGTTCCTGTATTATACATTAAAACATTGTTGTTTTTCTATTTTATATGTAGTTTAGTATAGTTTGTATCTGTTAATGTCAGACTCCTAATTTATCAACGGTTGATTTTATTTTAATTTTTTGGTGCTACATTTTGAGCAGAGGCAAACCCACACCGAAATGCTCCCAGGAGCGGTCACACCTGAGGGCACAGATCTGTGTGGTCAAAAATGGGGCCACTGAGCTGCAAGGAGCTGTAGGAACAGAGCAGGTGACGAGCCCGTGCCTCGGGTCTGAATGTGGACTCGTTCCCGATAGGTAGACTAGCATCTCTGCTGTGGGCACCCAGAACAGGAGGGCTGGCTCCTGAGTTGGCCCCAGGTAAGGGCACTGGGTGATGCCGAGCGCCCTGGTGCCTGGCCCTTCGGTCCCAGCCATGCTCCCACCCTTGGGCTGTGCTGGGAACGCAGATGACAGGAGCCCGTCCCAGGGTCTCTGCAGGACCCCCACCCCCCACAGGCTCCCTCCATCCCTGGGCCTTCTCTTCAGGGTCCCTGAGCCTTTAGCCCTGACTGCACGCCAGCTGCTCCAGCTGGAGACCCCTGCTCCGGGCCCTCCCTTTCCCCTCGCCTGGGCTTGAGTCTGTCCAGACAAAACACCCGGCTGCGGAGTCAGCAACCAGGCGATAAGCGAAGTGGAGATGCGTCTAGAATCCGGCTGTCCTTCAGCACTTCTGACTGAATAGTTTTCCAGGACTGTGTATAAAGGGCTTGCAGCTTAACCCCAGAAGCCCTAGGTATGTTATTCTCAGCGATGGGGTCAGTATTTGCCACAGAGTAAACCTATACTAGTTCATGCCATAGGAGGAGCTCAGTTATTCTTTTTGTCTTCTTAAATAACTTTATTTATGTGTTTATTTTTGGCTGTGCTGGATCTTCGCTGCTGTGTGGGTTTTTCTCTAGTAGCAGACAGGAGGGCGACTCTCTAGCTGACATGCACGAGCTTCTCATTGCAGTCGCTTCTGTTGTTGCAGAGCACATGTTCCAGGGAGGTTGGGCTTCACTAGCTGCGTCTTGCCATCTCCAGGGTGTGGGCTCAGTAGTTGTGGCCCCGGGGCTCAGTTGCTCCGAGACATGTGGGATCTTCCTTGACTAGAGGCCGAACCCGTGTTTCCAGCATTGGTAGGCGGATTCTTTATCACTGAGCCACCAGGGACGGAGTTTTGGCATTTGAAGGTTTGGGGGCTCCCCTGGTGGCTCAGAGGTAAAGAATCCAGTTGCAATGCAGGAGACCTGGGTTTGATCCCTGGGTTGGGAAGATCCCCTGGAGGAGGGCTTGGCAACCCACTCCTGGGTTGCCTGAAGAATCCCCTTGGACAGAGGAGCCTGGTGGGCTACAGTCCATGGGGTCACAAAGAGCTGGACACGACCGAGTGACTAAACACACACAACCAGGGAAGCCCCGAGTTCAGTTATTCTTAATGAGTCTATTAAAAAAATCACACTGCCCTGGGGTTATGCTATTATAGAGGATAGGTCTCTGTCCCAGGAAGTGTAAACTATAGGCTGCTTTTGTCTTTGTGCATCACATCTCGCACAAACACAACATTTGTACAGTGGACTATAGGCCTAGATGGTATATTGGTCAGGGTTCTCAAGATAAACAGAATCAATGGAATTATATAGAGATTTATTTTAGGAATGGGCTTCGTAAGTGTCTCAATGGGTAAGGAATCTGCCTGCAATGCAAGGGACCTGGGTTCGGTTCATGAGTGGGGAATATCCCCTGGAGAAGGGAATGGTTAAGCATTCCAATATTCTTGCCTGGAGAATCCCATGGACAGAGGAGCCTGGTGGGCTACAGTCCATGGGGCCGCAAAGAGTCGGACAGGACTGAAGTGACTGAACACACACGCATTATGAGGAATTGGCTCGTGTGATTATGGAGGCTGAGGACTGCTGAGGTCTGCAGCCGGCAAGCTGGAGGCTCAGGAGAGCCAAGGGTATGGTCCTGGCCCTCATCTGAGTCTGAAGGCCATGGAGCCAGGCCGCAGCCTGGAGGCAGCCGGGCAGAGAAAGAGGTCTCCCTGTGCTGTTCTCAGTCGCTCAGCCATGTCCAACTCTTTGCGATTCCACAGACTGTAGGCCCCAAGGCTCCTCTGTCCATGGCATTCTCCAGGCAAGAATACTAGAGTGGGTGGCCATTTCCTACTCCAGGGGATCTTCCCGACCCAGGGATTGAACCTGCATCTCCTGTGTCTCATGGCACTGCAAGGGGATTCTTTACCTGCTGAGCTGTCAGGGAAGCTCCTGAATCAGCCACAGGTGCACGAGTCCCCTCCCTCTAGACCTGCCTTCCACCTCCCAGCCTTTCCCACCCTTCTAGGTTGTTACAGAGCCGCGGGCTGAGTCCCTTGAGTCACAGCGAGTTCCCTACATGCCCACAATATCCCCAGTGTACACTGTGAATCTCCCCTGAGACTTTTGCCAGAAAAGTTACACAGAGGATGCTGATTGCTCTGGTTTGGGTTAACTACTCAGCCCCAACAAACTCACATCCCTGAAAAACACGTCCCTGAAAAAGTCCACAGGGACAGGACCAGCCTGGGTTACCAGCCTGTCCCTGTGATGGGGAAAGCAGCATTCCTACATCAGGGCATGGAATCTGCTGGAATCCAGCAAATTCAGGAGGTCAGTGACACTGATCTGAGACCTTGTAGTTTCATTTTGTCTGTCAGTCACTCAGCCATGTTCGATTCTTTGTGACCCCATGGACTGCAGCCCACCAGTTTCCTCTGTCCATGGGATTCTCCAGGCAAGAACACTGGAGTGGGTTGCCATTTCCTTCTCCAGGGGATCTTCCCCACCCAGGGATCAGACCCACGTCTTCTGTATTACAGGCAGGTTTTTTTTTTTTCACTGTTTGAGACAGCAGGGAAGCCCAGTTTTACTTTAATGTCCTCTTAACTGAAATTGAGTGTTACCTTTAATGACAAACACAGGCCAGTAGTATTAACAGCGCCTCCAACCTCGAAACCAGTAGACACTCCAGATCTATTTTGTATCATATAACAGTTCAAGCAGACATCTCAGAATATCACATGTTCATGCAAAAGGGTTGTAATTATAGTCTCAACCCAGACCTTGTTAGTTAATGCATTAATAAATATAGATATAAATATATTATGGGCTAAAATCTTTTTGACAGCTATCTTTAAATATAATTGGTTCCTTTTGTAACCTCATGTGTCTTATTTTATAAATTTAAAAACTTTTTCCTAAGGCTGAGTCCATAGGCAACCCAGGGACTGAATCCAGGTCTCCCACATTGCAGGCAGATTCTTTACCAGCTGAGACACCGGGGAAGCCCAGGAATACTGGAGTGGGTAACCTATCCCTTCTCCAGGGGATCTCCCCAACCCAGGAATTGAACCAGGATTTCCTGCATTGCAGATGGATTCTTTATCAGCTGAGCTACCAGGGAAGCCCCATCCACAGGTTTCACCAGCCAGTCAAAGGGGTCCCTGCCAGAGACTGACTGATTCACTTTGGGGAGAGGGGATATGGTCTTGCCTGCACAGAAGCCTCAGGCACACAGGAAACAGGAGCTGATGCCTCTGCTCCTGCTGGTGGGATGTAAGCGTTTGTGTTTTGATTTGTACCTAACTGTCCTCATTGCTGAAGTTTTCGCTGAAGTGTGTGCTCAGTCATGTCCGACTCTTTGTGACCATATGGACTGTAGCCCACTAGGCTCCTCTGTCCATGGGATTCTCCAGGCAAGAATACTGGAGTGGGTTGCCATTTCCTACTCCAGGAGATCTTCCTGACCTGGGGATCGAACCCATGTCCCTTGCATCTCCTGCATGGGCAGGCAGATTCTTTACCACTGTGCCCAAACTGTCCTTATAGGGAAACTGTAACCAAGCAGGATCCTATGGGGCCTTCCTGGGACAGACACTTGCATGTCTTCCCCTTGCCTCTTGTGTGTAGAAAAACTTCAGCCAAAGAACAAATTTAATCAGAGAAGTGAGAAGATGCAGAAGCAAAAGAGAACAGTCAAGCAAGACAAAATAATAATAGTTTTTCCATTAAACAAAATTAAGGACCTTTAATTCCTCCTCCAGGGGCTAGAAATAATACCCTGAGCCATATCCTTTGCTTCTCAGTTACTGGAACCCCCACCAGTTGGAAGAAGTTAGCTACACAATGACCAGTCTATAGCCATGACGTGAAACGCTCCATCTTGCACAACTCTAAGTGCTGGTCTCAAGAAAATGGAAATAAACCAAACCTGGAATTGTAGACTAACTGTGCTTAAAATGGGCTTCCCAGGAGACTCAGTGGTAAAGAATCTGCACGTGACTCTGGCTCAGTCCCTGGGTTGGGCAGATACCCTGGAGTAGGAAATGGCAACCTGCTCCAGTATTCTCACCTGGAAAATTCCGTGGACAAAGGAACCTGGCGGGGCATAGTCCATGGGGTTGCAAAGAGTCAGACACAACTGAGCACATGTGCCCATGCTGAAAACAATCAAGATGCCACTGCTCAGACCACTGCTGACCAATTTCAAGAGGACTGTCTGAGCTGACTGCGCTCTTCTACATGCAGGCCCCTCCCTTCTCTTGTGCCTCCTCTTTGAACGCTCTTGACCACTGATCCACAACTGGGGGTCCGTTCTTGGACTTAAGTCTGACTTCTTCCCAGGCTGCTGGCCTCCTGAATAAAGCAACTTTCTTTTCATACCAACACTTGTCTCTCAAGTCTGGGCTTTTGAGTGACGGAACAGCCAAACCTGAGTTCAATAACAAACCCATTTTGCATCCACCTCCTGACAAGGCACAGATCTCAATGGTTGTTGAATGAATGTGTCCTGCTTCCCCCAAACTCTGGGTGTGGGCAGATGAATCAAGGGCTTCCAGTGTATTGGGGGAAGCTACAAAGCATGAACGGCAGGGCTGAGGGGCCTCTGACCTGCTCCCTCTTCACCTCATGGTAGAAAACAGAAGCTTGCAGAATTCAAGTGACTCAAGATTGCAGTTGGTGTTCCTTGATCATTTCGGATGTACAAATGTCTTTCGACCTTTTCTCCCCTGAAAGCTTTCCTCCGTTCCTTTCTTCTGGCCCCACCGGGGGATTTACTAGTTTTCCCATTTCCTGCCCAGGTACAGGGATGCGCCTGAAAAAGCACAGCTGTGACCCCTCTGAAGTCTGGGGAACTTAAAGACGCCAAGTCCACTTCACTTTGGGTGGCTCAGATTCCCCTTTGCCACAGCCCTGTTGTTGCAGAACGGTGGTTCCCAGCTGGGGCAGTTTTGCCTGCCAGGGGTCACTGGACAGCGCCTGCAGACATTTTTGGATGTCACAACTGGCCTCTAGAGGGCAGAGGCAGGGATGTCGTTAAACAACACAGAATGCGCAGGACGGCCCCACAGCAATGAATTCTCAGGACAGCCAACTGAAGTATCAGTACAACCAAGGACTGAGAAGCCATTTCAGGACGGTTACCAAATCTTTCCTGGCCGTTTGAAGAGGCATCTACTAAAGCATCGGAAAAATTAAATAAAACCAAAGCAGGGACAAATTTGCTGTCTTGAGAAAAAGAATAGTTTAGCGGGTTACAGTGGAAGGCAGTGGTCCTCTTGAAGAAACTACATTTCTTAGAGAAAGAGAATGGCGTTCAGGGCAGAAAGGAAGCAGAGACTTTATCTTCCTTCCTCTGACTTACTCTCTTGAAGTCATTTATGCAATTCCAGAGCTCCTATGGTTCACCTTGTGGGTATCATCTATCTATCTAGCTATCGTTTATCTAGACATCTATCTATCTTCATTATTGGGCTTCCCTGGGATCTCAGCTGGTAAAGGATCCACCTGCTATGCAGGAGACCCCGGTTCAATCCCTGGGTTGGGAAGATCCCCTGGAGAAGGGAGCAAATACCCACTCCAGTATTCTGGCCAGGAGAATTCCATGGACTGTATAGTCCATGGGGTCACAAAGAGTTGGACATGACTGAGCAACTTTTATTTTCATCTTTACTATTATTATTTTATATATCCATTGGGCTTTCCAGGTGGCACTAGGGGTCAAGAATCTGCCTGCCAATGCAGAAAACTTTGCAGAGACCAGAGTTCAATCTCTGTGTCAGAAAGACCCCCAGAGGAGGGCATGGCAGCCCACTCTGGTATTCTTGCCCAGAAAATCCCATGGACAGAGGAGCCTGGCAGGCTACTGCCATAGGGTCGCACAGAGTTGGACAAAACTGAAGTAGCTTAGCACGCACACATCATCTGCCAGCTGTCTATCGTGTCAAGAACAAATTGCTCCAACTTTGGTAAAATGGAATGACATCATTTCCCTTTGGGTCAAAACATAGGAGTTCCTATTTCCATTGATGCTGCTGGGATCTGGCTATGGATTTCTGATTCTAATTTGCAGTGGCTGAAAGGACACACTAACGCAGACCTTTGCCTGTGAACTCTTCAGGACTTGGGAGACCTTTCTCCTTACTATTAAGGATGGAACAGCCTGTGAAGCCCCAGGTCCTGGCCGCTCACATCCTCTCCCATACTGAGCTGACTGCCCCTAGGGGTACTCCCAGGCCAGAGGAGGGATCGTTTCAACTCATGTTAGATTAAAACAAAACAAAAGTAACATCTGAAACAGATTCTGGGTGTAGAACTTTTGCTGTTTTCTCTCGTATTTCATTATTGTGAAAGGAAAGTCTTGCCCCGTTGCTTCTCCCATGCGCCCACGGGCGGCCTTTGATGTTGATTTCATCTGATGTAATCAGGTAGACAAGAGATGGGGGCGGGGCCACCTAGAAGCTGGACGCTGTTGTCTGCCCTGTGGCTCCTCATAGTGGGGGAGACTTCCAGCTGCTCAGGTGGGCGGACGGGTGACTGATCCTGCCTTCCCAGGTGCTGCCCTGACAGTGGGTGATTCAGCTTGTGTGTTTCAACTTGTATGTGTGGACGAAAGGAGGAAGGAGGGGTTTGAAGAAGGACTGATGCTGAAGCTGAAACTCCAATACTTTGGCCACCTGATGTGAACAACTGACTCATTTGAAAAGACCCTGATGCTGGGAAGGATTGAGGGCAGGAGGAGAAGGGGATGACAGAGGATGAGATGGTTGGATGGCATCACCAACTCAGTGGACATGAATTTGAGCAAACTCGGGGAGTCGGTGATGGACAGGGAGGCCTGGCGTGCTGCAGTCCACGGGGTCGCAAAGAGTTGGACACGACTGAGAGACTGAACTGAACTGAGCTGAGCAGGGGAGGGAGGGGAGATGGAAGCATGAAGGTGAAGGGCTACCATGCCCCCCACTCAGCACTACTGGATAATTTAAGGCCTCTTAGAGGGTGGGGCATGGAGAAGGAGATGGCCACCCACTTCGGTATTCTTTCCTGGAAAATCCCATGGACCCAGGAGCCAGGTGGGCTATGGTGCACAGGGTGGCAAAGAGGTGAACTCCACTGAAGCAACTTAGCACACAGGCATGCACACCGCAGAAGGTGGGGCTTGGGCAAGAGGCCGAGAGAGGCGGGTCCAGGAGAGCCCACACGAGACTGCAGCACATCCAGATGACAGAGCTGGCGGCAGGGGCTACTCTCTGTCCTTCCCCCATCCTCCAGTGGCTTCAGAGCCCTGGGGGTTCAGGGTCTACCAGCTGAATCAGCCAAGCTCTGGTCCTGAGGGGGCGGCAGACATGAAGGAGGCCCAGTACAGAGACCAGAGGGAGATCTGAGTGGACTTATTCTTGTGCAGAAGTGAAATACCCCCAGGGAGATCCTAGGCAAGGTTGGGGTGAGGGCTGCTGTCCTGCAGTCAGGCGGAGGATTTGGTATGAGCATCGCTATGACTACATATGTACTCAGACAGATGAATGACACTGGGGACGTGCAGGTGTGCAGTGTCTCATCCTGTCCTGGGACTGACCCCACAGGATGGGGGGACTCACAGAACCAGTGATTGGGGTGTAGTATATGGGTGTAGGAGTCAGCAGAGCCCAGAAAGCAGAATGCAAAGTAGATTCAATTAGCACCATTGTCTTAGTCTGCTCATGCTGCTAGAACAATCTACCGTAGACTATGCATGTTAGTCGCTCAGTCGTGTCCAACTCGTGACCCCATGGACTGTAGCCCACCGGGCTCCTCTGTCCACGGAATTCTCCAGGCAAGAATACTGGAGTGGGTTGCCATTCCCTTCTCCAGGGTCCGTAGACTGGGTGGCTTGTAAATGACAGAATTCTATTTCTCACAGTTCTCTAGGCTGGGAAGTCCAAGATCAATGTGCTGGAAGATTTGGTGTCTGGTGAGAGCTTCCCGGTTCAAAGGCAGCTGACTTCTGACTATGTCCTCACATGGTGGAAGTGGTGAAGGAGCTCCTGGGGTCTCTATTATAAGGGCACTAATCCCATCATAAGGACTCCATCCTCAAGCCCCAATCATCTCCCAAAGGCTTCACTTTTTAATATTATCACAAAGGGGTTAGGATTTAACAACAAATTCAATCCATAACAAGCATGATTGAAGGTGTCACTTCCTTCTGAAGGGTTTGATTTTGCTCTGGCCCCCAAACATTTGAAACCTCCTTAATTTGAGGCAGCCCATTTGTAAAAGCATGGCTTGAATTTTGTGCTGAAAACTGGAGATGGATTTGGGGCTGCAGGAATTTCTGCACCTTTGGAGACAAAAGATAATGTGGGGCACCTGCAATTGATTGTGAACTTTGGACCATAAACGTCCTTTCATTTATTTGTTTATTGGACGTTTATATGTCATGCACCTATTATAGATTAAGTCTGGGGAAGCAGACATGAGCACAGTCTAGTTCCTACCTTCAAATGGCATAGAGCCCTGTGGGCTAAACGGGTGCCTATGGCTGAGCTTGGATTGTAAATCCAACAAATAGCATGCCTTGCTCTTTCTTTCTACACGTCTGTATTTTCAGGGAAACCTGTGTTCCTTGGAGATGGGGACACATTCAGTGTATCTCTATGTCCATGTTGCTGCAAATAGCATCATCTCCTTTTTTATGCACAAGACCTTGTTTCTATGGCCCCAGAACACATATTATGGGGACACATAGTAGATGCTCTATAAATGTGTGGGATTCAGTTGAGGCAAAAACTCTGCATATGGGTTCTTTCTTAAAGTTTTATTGATTTATTTTTATTTTTGGCTGCACTGGGTCTCGTTGCTGTGCACGGGCTTTCTCTAGTAGCAGTGAGTGGGGGCTACTCTCTAGTTGTTGCTTGCAGGCTCAGTAATTGTGGCACATAGGTTTAGTTGCCCCATGGCATGTGGGGTCTTCCTGGACCAGGGATCAAACTTGTGTCCCCTGCATTGGCAGGTGGATTCTTATCCAATGAATCACCAGGGAAGCCCTGCATATGGGTTCTGAAAAGAGGCAGTAAATCAAGAGGTGAATTTCCTCTACTCCTCTGGTTCTAGGAGGACTAACTGTCTTCATGGAGTTGAACCTCAAACTCCAGTTCAGTTCAGTTGCTCAGTCATGTTCAACTCTTTGCGACCCCACGAACCGCAGCATGCCAGGCCTCCCTGTTCATCACCAACTCCTGGAGTTTACTCAAACTCATGTCCATCGAGTCAGTGATGCCATCCCGCCATTTCATTCTCTGTCATCCCCTTCTCCTCCTGCCTTCAATCTTTCCCAGCATCAGGGTCTTTTCAAATGAGTCAGCTCTTCGAATCAGGTGGACAAAATAATTGGAGTTTCAGCTTCAACATCAGTCCTTCCAATGAATATTCAGGACTGATTTCAAGACCACCTGCTAAACCTCCCATTTCTTGCAGATTTTAGTGCTGAGTCACCTACAACCAGCCACTGCCCTATCCCTTGAATCAGCTTCAAAACATGACACTGGCAGAAGGCAAACTTTCCAAGTTCAGGCCCCAGGAAAACAAAAATAAGTAAATAAGACTGCAATGCCAGATGGTCTGAAAGGACAGAGCTGGCGTGGAGGATTAACTGGCTGGTTATAAAAGCTGTCATTACAGAGTGTCATCGTTGGCGGGTTATTTATTAGCTCTCCCCTTTAAATACCAAATGTCATATGTGTTAATGTGTAGAAACCAAGCCTTCCCCTCCCAGCTGTTCCCGTGTCAGGCTGCCAGCTGCCTTGTCTCCTTTGCAGGTCCTGCCAGGAGTTCAGCATTCATATGGCACGCTATGCATACCACATTGCACTTAAGAAAGGCCAGATGAGGCCAACTGGGCCTCATAAGTAGCCTGTCAATCACTGCACTGCGTTGTGCATGTGACTGCGTGCACAAACCTTTGTTCTCAGTTAGAAAGGGCTCTCTTTGAGCCCCATGCACCAGACATGAACGTATGGTTTATTTCACCAACCATTGCCTGGAATCAGAGGTATATCTATCAACTCAGTGCTCATGGAGGCTTAGGGAATTGCAAAATGCCTATTATGAGAAATATTTTGCCCATGTGAATGGTACTTAATTTAACGACTGCCCTCAGGCAATCTCTGTGTCTTTCTATCTTCTATCCCCTTCTCTTGTTTTTTCTTTTTTTTTTTCAATCAGTATTAGCAATTTTTTATTGAAATATAATTGCTTTGCAATGTTCTGTTTCTGCTGTACAATGAAGTGAATCAGCCGTGTCCCTCAAGGGCCTCTCTCCTGCCCCACCCCCATCCCACCCATCGAGGTCATCACAGAACACTAGGCTGAACTTCCTGTGCCTTATACTGGTTCTTGCTAACTATTTTACACGTGGTAGTGTATATATCTCAATCCCAACCTCCCAATTCGTCCCATCTTTCCCTTCCCTCCCCAGTGTGACCACATGTCCATGTGCTACTGTCTTGGAAATAGGTTCATCCATAACATTTTTCACCATTATCTTCATTACCTCCACCATAGTTTGGTCTCAGGTCAAGCAACAGGGAGGGAATATAGCCCTGATCATCAACAGAAAATTGGATTAAATATTTACTGAGCATGGCCCTGCTCATCAGAACAAGACCCAGTTTCCCCCACAGTCAGATCTCTCCCATCAGGAAGCTTCCATAAACCTCTTATCTTTATCCTCAGTAGGCAGACAGAATGAAAACCACAATCACAGAAAACAAATCAAACTGATCACATGGACCACAGCCTTGTCTAACTCAATGAAACTAGGAGCCATGCCATGTAGGGCCACCCAAGATGGATGGGTCATGGTGGAGAGTTCTGACAAAACGTGGTCCACTGGAGGAGGGAATGACAAACCATTTCAGTATTCTTTCCTTGAAAACCCCATGAACAGTATGAAAAGGCAAAAAGATATGACCCTGAAAGATGAACTCCTCAAGTCAGTAGGAGCCCAATATGCTACTAGAGATCAGTGGAGAAATAACTCCAGAAAGAATGAAGAGATGGAACCAAAGTGAAAACAATGCCCAGTTGTGGATGTGACTGGTGATGGAAATAAAGTCTCATGCTGTAAAGAGCAATATTGTATAGGAACCTGGACTGTTAGGTCCATGAATCAAGGCGAATTCAGTTCAGTTCAGTCACTCAGTTGTGTCTGACTCTTTGCCACCCCATGAATTGCAGCACGCCAGGCCTCCCTGTCCATCACCAACTCCCAGGATCTACCCAAACATGTCCATCGAGTCAGTGATGCCATTTAGCCATCTCATCCTCTGTCATCCCCTTCTCCTGCCCCCAATCCTTCCCAGCATCAGGTCTTTTCCAATGAGTCAATTCTTCGCATGAGGTGGTCAAAGTATTTGACTTTGAGTTTGAGATTCAACATCAGTCCTTCCAATGAACACCCAGGACTGATCTCCTTGAGGATGGACTCGTTGGATCTCCTTGCAGTCCAAGGGACTCTCAAGAGTCTTCTCCAACACCACAGTTCAAAATAATCAATTCTTCAGCATTCAGCTTTCTTCACCATCCAACTCTTACATCCATACATGACCATGGGAAAAACCATAGCCTTGACTAGACGGACCTTTGTTGGCAAAGTAATGTCTTTGCTTTTAACTATGCTATCCAGGTTAGTCATAACTTTCCTTCCAAGGAGTAAGCGTCTTTTAATTTCATGACTGCAGTCACCATCAACAGTGATTTTGGAGCCCAGAAAAATAAAGTCTGCCACTGTTTCCATTGTTTCCCCATCTATCTCCCATGAGGTGATGGAACCAGATGCCATGATCTTAGTTTTCTAAATGTTGAACTTTAAGCCAACTTTTTCACTCTCCTCCTTCACTTTCATCAAGAGGCTTTTTAGTTCCTCTTCACTTTCTGCCATAAGGGTGGTTTCGTCTGCATATCTGAAGTTATTGATATTTCTCCCAGCAATCTTGATTCCAGTTTGTGCTTCTTCCAGCCCAGAATTTCTCATGATGTACTCTGCATAGAAGTTAAATAAGCAGGGTGACAATATACAGCCTTGACGTACTCCTTTTCCTATTTGGAACCAGTCTGTTGTTCCATGTCCAGTTCTAACTGTTCCTTCCTGACCTACATACAGGTTTCTCAAGAAACCGGTCAGATAGTCTGGTATTCCCATCCCTTTAAGAATTTTCCACAGTTTATTGTGATCCACACAGTCAAAGACTTTGGCATAGTCAATAAAGCAGAAATAGATGTTTTTCTGGAACTCTCTTGCTTTTTTGATGATCCAGCGGATATTGGCAATTTGATCTCTGGTTCCTCTGCCTTTTCTAAAACAAGCTTGAACTTCTGGAATTTCACAGTTCACGTATTGCTAAAGCCTGGCTTGGAGAATTTTGAGCATTACTTTACTAGTATGTGAGATGAGTACAATTGTGCGGTAGTTTGAGCATTCTTTGGCATTGCCTTTCTTTGGGATTGGAATGAAAACTGACCTTTTTCAGTCCTTTGGCCACTGCTGAGGTTTGCAAATTTGCTGGCATATTGAGTGCAACACTTTCACAGTATCATCTTTCAGGATTTGAAATAGCTTAATTGGAATTCCATCACCTCCACTAGCTTTGTTTGTAGTGATGCTTTCTAAGGCCCACTTGACTTCACATTCCAGGATGTCTGGCTTTTAGGAATCAGTGAACTAAAAGGGACTGGAATGGGTGAATTTAATTCAGATGACCACTATATCTAGTACTATGGACAAGAATCCCTTAGAAGAAATGGAGTAGCCCTCATAGTCAACAGGAATCCCAAATGCAGTTCTTCGGTACAATCTCAAAAATGACAGAATGATCTCTGTTCATTTCCAAGGCAAACCATTCAGTATCACAGTAATCCAAGTCTATGCCCCAACCAGTAATGCTGAAGAAGCTGAAGTTGAATGGGTCTATGAAGACCTACAAGATCTTCTATAACTGATACCAAAAAAAGATGTCCTTTTCATTATAGGGGACTGGAATGCAAAACTAGGATGTCAAGAGATACCTGGAGTAACAGGCAAATTTGGCCTTGGAATACAAAATGAAGCAGGGCTAAGGCTAAGAGAGTTTTGCCAAGAGAACACAGTGGTCATAGAAAACACCCTCTTCCAACAACACAAGAGAAGACTCTACACATAGACATCACCAGATAGTCAATACCGAAACCAGATTGATTATATTCTTTGCAGCCAAAGATGGAGAAGCTCTATAACGTCAGCAAAAACAAGACCAGGAGCTGACTGTAGCTCAGATCATGAACTCCTTGTTGCCAAATTCAGACTTAAATTGAAGAAAGTAGGGAAAATGACTAGATCATTTAGGTGTGACATAAATCAAATCCCTTATGATTATACAATGGAAGTGACAAATAGATTCAAGGGATAGATCTGATAGACAGAGTGCCCGAAGAACTATGGATGGAGGTTCATGACGTTGTACAAGAGACAGTGATCAAGACCATCCCCAAGAAAAAGAAATGCAAAAAGGCAAAAAGGTTGACTGAGGAGGCCTTACAAATAGCTGAGAAAAGAAGAGAAGCAAAAGACAAAGGAGGAAAGGAAAGATACACCCATCTGAATGCAGAGTTCCAAAGAATAGCAAGGAGAGACAAGAAGGCCTTCCTCAGCGATCAATGTAAAGAAACAGAGGACAATAATAGAATGGGAAAGACTAGAGATCGCTTCAAGAAAGTTAAAGATACCAAGGGAATATTTCATGCAAAGATGGGCTCAATAAAGGAAGAAATGGTATGGACCTAACAGAAGCAGAAGATATTAAGAAGAGGTGGCAAGAATACACAGAAGAACTATACAAAAAAGGTCTTCATGACCCAGATAACCACGATGGTATGATCACTCACCTAGAGCCAGACATCCTGGAATGAAAAATCAAGTGGGCCTTGGGAAGCATCACTACGAACAAAGCTAGTGGAGGTGATGGAATTCCAGTTGAGCTATTTCAAATCCTAAAAGATGATGCTGTGAAAGTGCTGCACTCAATATGCCAACAAATTTGCAAACCTCAGCAGTGGCCACAGGACTGGAAAAGGTCGGTTTTCATTTCAATCCCGAAGAAAGACAATGCCAGAGAATGTTCAAACTACAGCACAATTGCACTCGTCTTACACGCTAGCAAAGTAATGTTCAAAATTCTCCAAGTCAGGCTTCAACAGTAAGTGAGCCATGAACTTCCAGATGTTTACGCTGGTTTTAGAAAAGGCAGAGGAACCAGAAATCAAATTGCCAACATACATTGGATCATTGAAAAAGCAAGAGCTCCAGAAAAGCATCTCTGTCTGCTTTATTGATTATGCCAAAGCCTTTGACTGTGTAGATCACAACAAACTGTGGAAAATTCTTCAAGAGATGGGAATACTAGACCATCTGACCTGCCTTCTGAGAAATCTGTATGCAGGTCAAAATACAACAGTTGAAATTGGACATGAAACAACAGACTGGTTCCAAATCAGGAAAAGAATAAGTCAAGGCTGTATTTTGTCACCCTGTTTATTTAACTTATATGCAGAGTAATCATGAGAAATGCCTGGCTGGATGAAGCTCAGGCTGGAATCAAGATTGCCAGGAGAAATATCAGTAACGTCAGATATGCAGATGACACCATCCTTATGGCAGAAAGCCAAGAGCTAAAGAGCCTCTTGATGAAAGTGAAAGACGAGAGTGGAAAAATTGGCTTAAAGCTTAACATTCAGAAAACTAAGATCATGGCATCTGGTCCCATCACTTCATGGCAAATAGATGGGGAAACAATGGAAACAGTGACAGACTTTTTTGTGCTCCAAAATCACTGCAGATGGTGATTGCAGCCATGAAATTAAAAGACACTTGCTCCTTG